AAAAAAGCCCCAAATCTACTCACACTATATTTCCGTGTACATACTATAAACATTAACTATTAATTCCTCATAGACAATAAACATGTATAGGATTAAAAGGTCCAAAGGTCCAAAGGTGTTAACGTCGGACCAGGGCTCTCAGTTCGAGTCTCGGTTGTTCGGGACGTTGTTGAAATTTCTTGAGTGTGAGCGGATTAGGACGACTGCCTACCATCGCGCTTCCAATGGGATTATTGAGCGCTGACACCGGGTTATTAAAACAGCTTTAATGTGCCACGCTGATAAAGATTGGACCCGAACGCTTTCGACAGTTATGCTGGTTATTCGAACTCACGTTAGGCCGGATGTACGAGCATCACCCGCCGAATTTTTGTACGGGACGGTTTTGCGCCTCCCGGGAGAATTCTTTCTGCCGGAGGATTTCACTCCAGATCCTTGCTTATTTTTAGAAGAGTTTAGAGTATTCATGTGGAAGATAAGACCGATTCCGGTAGTTCATATGTATAAGAGACGTGCCTTTGTATACAAAGATTTGTATTCTTGTACACATGTCTTTTTGCGAAATATGACAAGAAAGTCTTTATACCGTCCATATTCGGGACCGTTTAAAGTTGAAAAAAGGGTGTCGGACCGAATTTTTAACATTATTGTTAACGGTGAATGTCGTAGCGTATCTATAGAATTGTTAAAACCTGCTCATGGTCTGCAAACGAATGTTGAGCAGCTTGCGACGTCGCCGGATGGACCTGATATCCAATTAGAACATATTCACGTAAGAAAGTTACGATTGTGTGTTAAGATTAGGTTTAGCTCCCCATAGGTCAAGTTCTGTACATTGTAAGCTTAGATTTAAGGATCATTGTAATTAGTTCTTTGAACTGTACAGGTGTCTCAAAACTGTTGTAACACCTTAAAAGGGGTGATCCGGGAGGTGATTTGATTCGCTTTTCCTTAGCGAAAATGTTGTCCGAGGCTTTGTTGAAGAGATATTAACGGAAAACACTGACCAATCAGACCGCGAGTATGCCGATGGAGCGCTCGCGGTAGCGTATGGGCGCGCCCGCCTAGCGCGTAGCCACGCCCACCGCGGCCGCTCCAACGGCATACTCGCGCTCTTATTGGTCAGTGTTTTCCGTTAATATCTCCTCAACGAAGCCTCGGACAACATTTTCGCTAAGGAAAAAGTTGTTTCAAATCACCTCCCGAATCACCCCTTTCAAGGTGTTACAACATTTTTGGGACACCCTGTATATCATAATTGTAAGCTTTTGTGTCGTAAGAACTCGGGGGGGGGGGGGGATGTGTGGGGATTCGCCTTAAGGCGTACCGTGTCGCGCATGCGCGTGTTTGAACGCGTTTGTCGGTTGCGTGGAGTGGAGAACGACGACCATTCGGCATTCACTCCGTTGTGTCGTGTCGTAGCGTTCAGACGAATCACTTATTATCCAGTATCGTTATTATTATAGTTAAATATTAATTGTTACTGTGTGTATTTATTTCCTGAGTCACTTTCCTTATTCGGTGAAGTTGGCACCGGCCAATAGTTAATTAACGGCCTTTATTTCCAATACTGAGGACCAACTGCCGCCCCCTGGGCAATACTTGCAAGAACGCGCGAAAAGTTTGATTAATGTGTACTAAAAATCTTCGAACGCATGTTTTAACAAATATCTTCAATGTTCAACAAATCTTGTAAATATCAATGTAATCAACAATTTAGCAACAAAGAAAAGAAACAGTTTGTCAATAGTGGACCGCGATGATTTAAGATTGCTGATGACAAATCTGACACCAAATATCGAAAAATTATTGTCGTTACACCAAGCTCAGCCTTCTTACAAATAATATTATATTAATTTTTGTAATAATATATATTTGTTTATCAAATTTTAAACAATACATCAACATATTAATATCTTTCAATAAAGTAATTTTAATAAAAACTGGTCCTTGTTTTCAAATATATGTATAATGTAGTAATATAGTATATTTCACCTAAAAGAAGCGCCGTTGAATCACTGATTGAAAAGAAAAAAATATAAACATGTCGAATTGAGTAACCTCCTCCTTTTCGAAGTCGGTTAAAAAGAGGATGATGAACCAAGGAAGGTTGTCTACATTGTAGACACTCCTATGTATGTACAGTATAATCCACAAGAGATGGACTTTTCAAGTGACTCTAAAGAGAGTGATAAAATACTGATCTCAAATGATCAGATTTTGATCGACCCAGAAATAATGAATTCTTTGAAGATTCACCAGGACCAAATATATTTTTCACGAATCCTGATAAAGTATAAAACATTGCAAGTATGTTTGTAGGAGATGATTTGTTTGAATTTATTGCTACAGAAACAAACAAATACTACACCCAAAACTTTCAGATGTATAAGAGTACAAAAAGTAGTGGAAAATGGTTTGACATAACTGTAGTTGAGTATAGATACAGTTAAGCCAAATCAAGGATTACCTGAGATTTTTAAGAATGTTAAATTAAAAATATTTGAAACCACATTTAAACGAAAATGTGAAGTAATCCTACAATTATGGAATACAAATAAAGTAAGACATGTACGCATGATTTCAATCATTCATAATGGTAATGTTGTCAATACAGGTAAAACTGATTAAAAAAGTGGATGCCTGGTAAAAAAGCCAAAATCCATCATAGAGTACAATCAACATATGAAAAGAGTAAATCATGTTTTGAGTTATTATCCATTATATAGGAAAACAAAGAAGTGGACAACAAAAGTTGTCTTCTATTTAATGAATTCTGGATTGTTCAATGCTTTTAGGCTCTATGAATCTTTGAATGTAAATTCTAATAGAAAACTTAAGTTTTACGAGTTTTTGATGATCTTGTTGAAAATATGGATAGAAGATAAGAATATGTCAAATATTGAAGAGAACACTGAAATCCCTACAACGTCCCGAACCCCTCGTGTTAACCTACTACAGAAGCTTTCTGGCAATTTAAAACATCACAAATTGGTGAGAATATCAGAAACAGGCAACCGAAAAAGAAAATGGTGCAAAGGTTGCTATATAAATAAGACAAGAAAAGACACATATTACATGGGTAATTATAGAGAACAGTACATCCTCACCGATTTCGATGATTTTTAAATATGTTGTAAAAGTCAACATTTTGAACAACTTTTTCGGAAAATGAGGCTGAGTGACGGTTATATGTGTAGGAAAAAGTTGTTCAAAATGTTGATTTCTACAACATACTTAAAAATCATCGAAATCGATGAGGATGTACCTGTTCTCTATCATTACCATTAAATTTAATAGCGGCCCTAGAGATATATGCTAAATGCAAAATAAGACAAAATGCATTTGTCTTATTTTAATTGTATGTATTAAAATCGCCATGGTACATCCCAAAAGCATGGCAGCATCATACTAACAAATCACCCATTCAAAAAGGCATATTTTAAACAAAAAATTTTTGTCCTAGCTCCTCTAGTTTTCTAGATATTTAAAAAAACATGGTTTTCATCCCCAAATTTAGGGACTGTTTTCACCCCTTCAACATGGACGATTGCCGATAAAAAGAAATACGTGTCAAATATTTTTTTGAGAACTACCTACCACATAAATTTGATCAAAATCGGAGTGTGACAGTTGGAGACAGTTCCCTTCTAAGCTTTCAACTGTACATTCCTATTTGGTATCAACAATTAAATCAAATCACGACTTCCGTTATATCCCAAAGGATAAATATGTTAAGTTAATTTTACAGTATAAAATTACAAAAGGTTTAATATTCAACATAAAATCGTAGCTGCATATTTAATAACGATGTAATTGCAGAGAATTTCGAAGAGAATAGCGTGGTCACCTCAATCTCTGGATCAATAGATAGCTGATAACCCGTAGGGTTTCTTTGAGTAAGATAAGACATGTTAATAACGCAAATCTTTTTAGCTTCTTAGACCCAGAGGGAAGTTTCGAAGACTAACTTCCGATACAGAATATTCACAAATTCATGATGCAAAATTGAACTAAAACTGTGATTACAATTAAAAGATATTAGGCTCCTTATTATCCATGGCAGTAAAAACATCCTTTTAAAGGGCAACCAAATTTCTACTACGAATGTAGTTTACAAGGAAATTCTATAAATAAAGATACTAATATCAATAAATAGGAATAGAAAATTGTTTGTTAAACCTTCGTCGTTCGCTACGTTTGACAGGGGAATAAAATACTAATAAATACAAATAGAAGCACTGTGAGGAAATGTATTCAGTTTTTAAAATATTGTAGAGTGGGTAAATTGTCATTCATGCGTTTAACTTTAACAGTAAACAAGTCAAAGTTTTGATGAACAATTGGTTCATAAAAATATAAAAATAGCTGTACAACCTTCTATTAAAGGGCTTCTATTAAAGAACATCACACAATAAAAAAAAAGTCACTTTTTTGTTTAAATTAAAATTGAAGCGATTCTCAACAGTTCTACACAAACAGGATTGAATTTAAGCACTGAAAGTGGTAAAACAATTTTTTTGTCACAAGAAAAGTTGAATGACACGAAAAAATGAAAAAAACGCGATCAAGCTGTAAAAAATATAAGGAAATACAACTGACAACTTTCTCAACCGCGTCTCCAGTCTCAAGTAAATTTGACTGTCATTGTTTTCTCTTCGAGAAAGTTGTCAGTTGTATTTCCTTATATTTTTTAGTCTTATTACGTTTTTTTCATTTCTTCGTATCGCCAAACTTTTTTGTGAAAAAAGAAGAAATTTTGTGAAAAAAAATTGAATTTCTTTTCAAAAAAATTTGTTTACCACGTCCAATGCTCTAAATTCAATTCTGTTTGCGTAGAACTGTTCAAAATTGTTTAAATTTTAATTTTAAAGAAAGTGATTTTTTTTTTTCATTTTGTGATGCTCCAAGCCCCGTAAATAACAATTGCATAAGATAAGAACTAGTTGGTCTATTTTGTAAGAGTTTCTTATAAAATATGTAAATGGAAAAAGACTTACCTGTTCGAAGCCGCCTAAAATTTCTGTAGTGTCCATCGCAGAATGTACTACAACTGATTTCAGCTTCTGACCAGCCAAATTTGCAAGAAGGCGCACAAGACTGCTTTTTCCACTTCCGGATTCCCCAATCTATGGCGAAATTAGCACATTTTGTCAAAATAAATTGTGTTGTTCTGTATAATCGTTTCTAACAAAAACAGTTCGTGACATTTTTTGTAGTTTAGCTTCTATAATAATGCCACACTACATGATATTGTTATTCAGTAAATATAAGTAAATAGTTTTAAAGTATTACATTGAACATTCAATTCATAAATGTAGCAAAAGAAACAAGTTATTGACAAGAATATATTAAATAAGGGAAACGGGGTCTTTTATAACTATAACAGCTAAATACTTCGGAAGGTACTTACAAGAATCGCCATCCAGTTCATGTTAACACACTGTGCGAGGCCTTTGAGGGTAGTTTTCTGTTCTCTGAGAAGCAGCAAATCGTCATTCTCGTACACCGCAGAATCACTCCGATCTAATATTTCATCCCCTAAGAAAACCTTTTCTTTCGTCAAATGAATTGGAAATTTCTGGTCTGGCAAAGGATAATCGTTCAATGAGAATATTGTGTCATATATCTCAATCACCTATGATTTCAAAATATGTTGAATAAGTTACAATGAAAATCTTGTAATAATACAAAATAGTGAAAATATTAACACTGATTATAGATATCTCACCTTAACTTTATCTTCTTTTGTTCTCATTCTGTCAACGTAAAGTAATTGAGCTCCTTTTCCAGGATTAAATGTTTTTGATGAGTTCCGTTCGAAAGCTTCCATGGTTATTTCACACCATCTGGTAACATCCCTGAGGTTCATCTCCCAAGGAGATCCCGAATGTGCCCATGTAATTCCCACTTCAGAACTTAACTTTTCGTTAAACATAATCATTTTATTCAGTAACTCTTCTGGCAACTTTGGAAATTGGGCTTTTAAAATGAATTTTAAATCGTCTTGTTTAAAAATATCCACGAAAACCTAAAAAATTTTTAATCATAACTTTAATTAACCCCTTCAATAAGATTAAAGTATGAGTAATGACATAATTAAACATTATTATCAGTACTAATGAAAGAAGTAAACCTCACCTGAGTAAAACGATTCAAAAATGACTTCGGAAGCCCTCTTCTAGCTCCACCTTGACGGAGAGGATTCTGACAACCAAATAATCGAGTTCCTGCTTTCACAACGAAAGTCATTCCTAATTCTGGAATAAATATTTCGCCACGGTGATCAAGGCAAGCATTTAGTCCTTCGAGAACTGACTGCGAAGCAAGGTTTAATTCGTCGAGAAGAATCCAATCCCCATTTTTTAGGGCTCTTAGGAAAGGACCGTCTCTCCAAGAAAATTCACCAAGTTTTCCACCCTCAACTGGCAAATCAGCTCCAAACAAATCCGAAATATCCTATAGAATGTTTAAAATATTTACAGTTAAAATAATAGTGATTACGTGATGAAACTGAACATTCCTTTTTCCTACAAGAAGAAAGGCTTACCGTTTGATCACTGAGATTCAGCCTAAGAAGACGGTGTCCGGAAGCTCTCGCAAGTGCAGAAACCAAGCTAGTTTTCCCAACTCCTGGACTACCTTCCAATATAATTGGTTTTTTTAATTGCAAAGCACGCAATATTTTTAAGGAATTTATTCTGGTCATTGGACTCTTAAAAGTGAATCCTAGGTCATCTGGAATTTGCTCATCGCCTTTTTTCACATAAAACGGAGGCATTCCAAATTTGTCCTCATAATATTCAACATCAGACTTCTCGCAGTTCAACAACAGCTTGGACTTTAATGTATTTTGTACTTGATATTCAATGAACCTCAATGCAGAATCCTTGAAATGCTTAAACTTCTTTGAACTAAAATGCAGAAGATATTGTTACAAGATTAATTAAATCATTTTAAATATATAAGGAAATAATAACAAATTGCTTACTTTTCTGTGGCAGTCAAACCAGCTCCAAGCCCGTCAATATAGCTTAACGCTGCACCATGGAAGAAAGCATCTCCTATTTCTAATCCTTGGCAACAATTAACAAAATTCACCCACGTAAGCACATCTCTAACGCTCACGATAAGCTTCTTCCCTATTTCTGTTCTTTGTAGCCATTTAAGGAATTCTATTATTGCTGTGGAAACACTTTCTTTGAATTTATCGCGTAGATTGTGTACCATAATAGATCTGAGATCATCTAATGAAACGCTGCCTTCACACCAAATTTCAGTAAACCTATTTCTAAGGGCTGGCGAAAGTTCCTTTTTGCCATAATCGCCACCAGGATTCATTGTCCCAACAAAGATAAAATCTTTATTTGCAGTAATTGTTGCGTTTTCTTCAGTTGACGGTTTTTCAGCAATCAAAAGTTTACGTTCAGGTTCTAAAAACAGAAACAAATGATCAAGTAACGAAAAAAAAAGTAATAAATTTTCTTTTAAATAGTAAAATTAATGTAACAGTTACCTAAAAGAGAGTTTAATCGTTCAAGAACACTATCATCAGCTAAAGAGATTTCATCTACAACAAAGAAGCCACCATTTTTCATGGCTTTCACTAAAGGGCCATCCACCCATTCGAATAGTTTCTGACTTTCTTTATGCTCCCTAACAGGACGAAGACTTCCAAGAAAATCGGAAGCTTCTGTATGCATGTGACAATTAACAATACTGAGTTCTTGTTGTTTGATCACTGACAAAAGTTGACAAACTGTGGTCTTGCCACCTCCTGTCTCGCCAATCAACAGAACTGGCTCTTTGAAATCATAAGCTTTTGTAAGAAGTACTGCCATTTTGCGCATCTGATACGTCCAGACTACGTGCTCAAATCCTGTAACCTTCTTCGACAGAAGAGATTCCAAAATTGGTTTTGTCACAGGTGAAGTCTTCTCGGAAAGTGAAAATAGAGAATTTGGATCGACGTTTCTTTTTAGGTGTTTTTTCAAAACCTGTATAATTTCTGAACATTCTTCTGGATGACGGACCTTCGAAGACAAGACTAAATACCCTTCATCAGCTAAGTGTTGACTCCAATCGTAAAGAGTACCTTTAGTCTCAGGTGCAAGATGATATCTCTCAGCCCAACGAAATAGGTCTCTAAGCGTTATAAATCCTTTCTTTCCAGCAAACGTGGCGGTGCTCTTTCTTCGAACTTGAAGTTCTGTCATCACATTAATTACTTGTTTGCAATATGTTTCTGGCATCTTACATCTTTTGTGTAATATTATTTGAAGCTCTTTCGGTGGTATCTCATCAAAGTGTAGTTCAACGAATCTGTTCCTAAATGCCCGTGAAAGTACCTTTCTTCCACCGTATAATCCTGGAGGATTCTGAGTAGCAAAGAGCATGAAACTGTCATGTGCTTTAACCAATTGTTGGGTTTCTGGAATGTATAGTTCTCTATTGTCATCAAGAACTCTGTTTAAAGCCTCTAAAACATCACTGGGTGCCAAATTTAACTCGTCCAAGATTATCCAATATCCTTTACGCATCGCATCTACTAGAATACCCTCTTTAAAAACTAACTTTCCAGTAGAATCGGCTACATAAGTACCAACATACTCCTGCAGATCGGTGTGTTCATGATTATTAATTCTAACACAGATATGTCCAGAGGCTTTGGCCAAATATGTTATTAAACTAGTCTTCCCAACAGAAGTATCACCTTGTAACAGAACAGGCATTTTTCCAATGGAAACTACTCGTACTAAATCTTTTAAATTTTGTTTCACCGTTTCTGTAAGTACGTAATTTTCTGGTATTTGTGGCTTGAGATCACCTTTAAGAATCCAGTATCCTTCAAAGGATGTAAAGTGTTCAGTAAATACATTATGCGGCCTTGGGATTGGCGTTCCAAGAATTGCACTTGCAGTTTTATCACCCAAGATAGCCTTCACAATCATTCTTTGTACTAATGGATAAGAATTACTATCCAATTGCGTTAGAAAACTTAAACAAAATGCTTCATATAAAGACCTCAATACATTTCCACAAGGATTTTGTGCGGATATACTGAGAGCCCGACATAGCGTTCGTAAACTATAGTGCGGTTTATGACCAGTTCCATCAAGAAGATTAGTTTCAGCTTCTTTTTTGATATTTAAATAAAACTTAACAATACTCTCAATTTTCTCTGGTGGAAGATTTAAATCTTTTAAGTAGGAGCTTGTTAGAAGTTGCAAATCTGATTTCTCTGAAATTTCGTCGACGAAAAATTCAGTAAATCTATTCCTGAGCCCTACAGGAAGATCTTTCTTTCCAACATCTGTTGCAGGATTCATACACGCAAAAATTACAAAATCTGAATGCCTTTTAATTGGTTCTTTGTCTCCACGCTCTATCAAAGATAATGATCCACAAGATCCCTCCAACAGTCCAGAAAGACACTCCAATGTTTCTGCAGTAGCCAAGTTGATCTCATCCAATAAAACCCAATCTCCATTTTTCAATGCCTTCACTAGACCACCTTCCACAAAAGAAAATGCTAACGAATATTGACTTTGCACTTGAGTCTGAAGTTTCTCCAATTTCTGTGCTATCTTTTCCCATTTCTTTAAAAGCTCCACTGCATCCCGATTTCTTGAATTTGTTCTTAATCTTTTTAACGCTGCACTAGTACTCTGAATCATTAAACTAGTCAGTGTTTTCCACCTTCTTTGCTCAAAACAATGACCAATGTGACTCAGAAATTTCTGATTTGGTTCGATCGCGAAATAGGATCGAAATAAAATTTCAAACTCTTCGCGAATTGGAAAAACAAAAAGCTTGAAATCAACTGGTTTATAACCACCGAGTAAATCAGTACTTTCGCTTTGTTGATTCATATTTATTACTATCAGTTTATGGCCTGTTATCTGTGCAAGATATTGAATACAACTCGTCTTCCCTGTTCCTGTCTCACCGACTAGAAGAACAGGTTCTTTTTGCATAACACAGCTAGCTATTCGTTCTAAAAGACATACAGATGTTCTAGTATAAGAAAAGTTCGAGCTTTTTGGCTGCATTTGTACACGTTCAGATTTTTTTATCTCTAACTTTGCTCTGCCAACCATAAGACTTTCCTTATAAAGATTTAGCGATGGTTTGTGCATTTCACAGAAATATTCTGCTTTTGTTTTTACAATACCTAACTTATGTGCTACTGATATTGCCAAATTTAATCGTTGCACTGAAATAACAAAGTCAGTAGTTTAATTAAGATTCATACAAGCGACAATGTATTAACTCACTGTTTTATGTGTTAACAATATACCCAGAATAAAATAGACTACATACCGCAATTAGGCACAGAATAACAAAAAACATCCAAAGCATCTTGAAAAATCTTCAGTGCAGATACAGGTGATGATACATTGAAGTCAACAACAGCCCTAGAACACCATTTAATCAAATCCCTTGTAGAGATTTGCCTAGCATTCCTTACGCTATTCACAATATCATCTTTGTGATTACCAACAGAAAACAACAAAAATACATCAATCATTTTTGTGGCCACTGTATGTAACACTGGAAATAAAGTTTGAACAATTGTTACAAGTTCATCTTTGGATAAAGATTCCACATTAACGCAAGACCAATCTTTCTGGAATGGTATAGACACTTTGAGTGGCTTCTGTCCCCCTCCTGATGCTAATCTCATAGTAACAAATAACTGAAATCCACTTTTTACATGTACACAATCTCTGTACCCTGGAACCGACAATGTTTTACTTTCCATGAGATGTCCAATAATACTGATAACATCTGTTGGAGCACAATCAATGTCTTCCAAAAGTAACCACTTGCCAGACAACACGGCTTCTGTTAAAATTCCAGGTTGCCACAGAAATTCTCCAGGAATATCAGTACATCTGTACATTCCCAATAACATTTTAGAATCTGTTTGATCACCTAACTGCACCTTTGCAAAATTTTGGGTATCATGGCCTGTTGCCTGTGCTAAGAATTCTACTAATGCAGTCTTTCCAGAACCAACGGCACCTTGTAAGCATACACATTTGTTAGAAGATACCGCAAAAGCTAAATTTTGTAAATTTCTTCGTGTGGATGGTACCGAAACTAAATTCAATTTATTTTTGTGTTTCAATTTCTTAAAAACTGGTAGCAGAACTCCTCCGATAGATATTACTGATGATAGACCATTAAACAATTGATCTAGTTCTTCGGTTTCTGCAGATGTTATATTGTTTTGACTAACTTCTTTGCACTTAATAGAAAATTGTTGATTCTTTGAGAGGAAATCATTCATATGAGATAAATAGCAAGACTCTGACAATCCTAGTACAACAGCAATACAATTCATTGCCATCCTGAAAATAATAGAAATTATTATTCTATTCATGTTTCCATAAATAAGATTTTGTTTATGTGTAATTATTATTTAAATTTAAAAAAGAAAACAAATAAGAAATTTTCAATTTGCATTATACATTTCATTCTATTATAGAATATATCAAATTTGATTTTAGTTAATATATCAGCTAATACAAATAATATGCAAATTAATATTACATTATTTAAGTTTATATAAAGATAAATAATATGTATTACCATCTAACATATTCATCACTAAATGTTAAATATTTGTAAAATTTGGACCAATTCCATGTATAAATAAAATGTATTGGTGCACTGCATAGAATGTTATAGCAAGCTGTTACTAGATCATGATCAGAAACTTCAGGAAAGGTTGTTATTTTTCTTCTATTATGCCGCTTTAAAGAAGGCTTATAGTCATCTTCTATGGATTCAAATGGTGCTGGATTTGTATCAAAATATTGTAGAATGAATCTATAAACGAATAATATTATTTTTAAAATTAATGATTCATGTAATATTTTACATAAATATAAAAATACATACGTCAATAGATCACGGTTCTTGCTACCAAGTTTTCCCAGAATGACAGAGTTTAACTTATGAAGTCCATCTCCATCATTAAAGGAGACCTTGTCTATAGAAATACTTGCAGAAACTAATGCAGGTAGTAATTGTGGAAAACATTCTGCGACATCGTCTGTACATTCTAGATCCATTAAAAACTCACACAAAATATCTACAATTCTTTCGCAATCATTCTTGTCCAGCTCCTACAAAATCATAAAAAATTCCAAAATTACTATGAAAGTATTTTTAAATTGGATAGTTGTTAAAAGTGAAAGTAACAGACAAAATAAATCAATATATAAAAATCCATATATCTTATAATTAAACAAAATTGCATGAAAACATGATTTTTCTAATAGTTGATTCAATATACATATTATAATTTTAAGTACATAAAGTGATACTAAAGGATATCATTACAAAATATCATATAGAATAATACATTTTAAATATACAGCATAAGGAATGATAATGGTAACAGGAATCAAAGGAAAATAAATATTATTATTTAAAAATTAAAAGAAAATTGTTTTAAATATACTTATAGAAAATTTAATTTACCTTATAATTTCTATAGGACGCAAGTTTCTGTGCGTAAGTTTCCTTTCTTTCAACAAAAGTCTTCAAACTTTGTAGAAGCATATTTGAAAAAAATAATAAAAACTGAATAACATGTGCAACTCTAAGCGACCTTCGACATCAATGCCCAGGTAAGCACGTGTTTTTGACGGAATCATCTGAAGTTGGTTAGTGTGTTGTTTGGTGTGCAGTTTATCCTTTCATTAAAAAAAAAAAACCTAGAATATTATGAATTTGTATTGTCGCGTACCGCTATTTATGTTAGGGACAAATTAATTTTCACATCATTCCTAGATGACATAGCGGAAATTCGTTTGCCTCTACGACCACATACAGGGTGTCCCAAAAATGTTGTAACACCTTGAAAGGGGTGGTTCGGGAGGTGATTTGAAACAACTTTGTCCTTAGCGAAAATGTCCGAGGCTTCGTTGAGGAGATATTAACTAGTGGAGCGGCCGTGGTAGCGTATGAGCGAAGCCGGCTAGCGCGTAGCCTACGCTCCACCAGCATCCTCGCGCTCTGATTGGTCAGTGTTTTCCGTTAATATCTCCTCAACAAAGCCTCGGACAACATTTTCGCTAAGGAAAAAGTTGTTTCAAATCACCTCCCGAACCGCCCCTTTCAAGGTGTTACAACATTTTTGGGACACCCTGTATTTTACTGTATATATATATATCGTAATCTGTGTAATATATAAATATATATATATATATATCGTAATCTGTGTGCACTTGCGCCGCGAGCGGACGAAATATTCATAACTTCAAGTTCGGGATTTCCCTAAAAGTTTTCTAGTAACTTTCCTAGGGAGTTGGATCTCCTTATACAGTCTTCATGGTCCAGACACGTTAAATAAACCTCCACTATCTGTCATTATTCTATGTTTCATGATTATTGCCTTGCTATATGTTTGTTGTTAGTAAATAGAACAATTTAAAATTTTGAGATTATAGCCTCGTAGAATGTTGATTGTTATTACCAGCAATTTTTAGAATACAATTAAAATTGTTCCAAGACTGTGGGAAAATACAAAAACTAGCAAAAATATGGAAAATCTAAAAGAAGGGCAAATGAAAAATGAATGTAGTTTTAAATTCCACGATTTTTTGGCAGAAGTTGGTCACATAAAACTTGCCTGTCATACAGTTAAGATGGATAATTGTCTTTATTTATGGGTGGGTGATTCTCGTGATAATGTGATGAATGATTTGTCATTTGCAATTGAATCACGGTTTTCAAAAGAACCAGTTACAACGAAGATTATTGGACCTATTGCTAGCGAAACTTCAAACAACCTTGCTAAGAGACTTTCAATGAAACTTTCAAAACCTGTATACGTCAGTTTCAATGTTCAGGTCGATAATATTTCTCTACCTGTGATTGAAAGAAGACTTAAAGAAGAATTTGATGCACACCCTGATATTTTATAATGTAATATTTATATTATACAATTAAAAAAATGATCATGAATTATATATTTTGTGTAAAATATAACTTGAATTCACCATACAATTTTGCTTTTAATTTTCATTATTACCTACATATCTACATAAAAGTACTACTATGTATCAATCACATATAATTAATATATGTATTGTACATATTATTATATAGGACATACAAAAACACCATAAAATAATTAATAATGCACTATTTCTGTGATTTCTACAAAAGACATATCTACATAATATAAACAATCATTGGATAGTTTATTTATACTTTTTTTAGATTTGTTTTATCATAAATTTTTATGCATAGAATAATCACTAGTTATTCTGATTCAATCCAATAAATAACCTTAAAAATAAGAAAAAAATCATTATCTTTGTAAGTCAATAGTCTGGGATTGTTAATTAATAGAAACATATGACTCTTCTAATTGCAAAATAATTGATTAAATTTCTAAAATATTACAGATTAATATACATATATGTACAAACATTTATAACAAATGTCAATTACGTGGTTTTTTAAATTCTGCATGTATCCTTTTTACCTGTTTGGTAACTGAGTAAATTATTATTTGAATCTTTAAATAACTTTTTCTTCTATTCATAAGCATTTGCAAAAGATCACTTCAAAAAGGCAGTGTATGTAAAAGTGGCAGAGTATTGTGTACTACAAGTGCTAACCATAAATTTAATTGTATATTACTCTGTTATTAACCGAATAATCTTTCCCTTTGCCTTTTAGTATGAAAATAAATATTATAACTTTGGTATAATCAATTGTTTCATTATACGTTTCTTTTTATACTTTCATTATCAACAAATATGTATGTAACAGGATATTATTTTTTAATATCTAGATCAAATTCAACTATTTCTTCAATAGGCATCTCATTGCTAATACTTGTACACTATTTTTTTCCTGAGAATTTGTATCATCGCTTTTGAATGAAAGTACATTGAAGATTTTCTGTAAAAATTCTTAGTTTGGCATGAATGTGTTGAAGACACTGTTGAAGAGTTCTTATAGATGGCAGAGGCATTTGAATTTTGGAAATTAATTCATATCTAGCTACAGAGGATGCAAAGTACAGTCTTAAGACTCGAAGAATTGTTTCGTTTGTCCATTTCACTCCTCTAGCATTGCTCCTTTTGGCTAAAGCATGTAATTAGTCTGGTCCAAATCTTCCGTTAAGTTTTTTATACAATTGTTACACAATTTTTTGACAATTGAACTGCAAGTACAGCTTTCTCTCTTTTTAACTCTATAATTTCATTTCTTAACTTATTCATATTTTCATAGTTTCTGTCACTTGTGTCTTTACTTTTTTCTAAGTCAGATGAATATGCAATTTCTACTGTACAGAGGGAATGTTTATCTGAGAAATTGAAATCCATACTTATAGTATACGATAAAGAGTCTCTAACACCACTAACATAGGTAAACAAAGACTCTTCTACTGATAAACTATTGGAAGACTCTTTTATTGATATGTCATTCACAATGCTTTTTGTTGGTACATAAATGCTGTGAACATTTTTCAAAGTTGATGGTATTTGAGTTGTGTTATTATGTACAGATAATAACATTGTATAATCGTGTTCTATTATTCTTGTTTTCATGGGACAAGAATCCTCATGTTCGATTCCGCTTCCTTTGGATGGTCTGCCTCTACATGCGTGGCCATCTATGGTGTAGCCGGTGGAGGTGGTGGCAGGGGCTGCGCCTGTGGTTGTGGCGACGGGGGCCGTGTTTGTGGCAGCAGTGGCTGCTGCGATGGCAACGGTGGGACTGGCGTCTGAGGCAGCAGCGGCTGCTGCGACGACTTGAAGTTTGTACGCGTATCATTGATAATAATTAAAAATTATCATCATCGAGCAGCATGTCCTCGTAATTTGTCTACAAAAATTAATAAACAATTAATGAAAAACATTTACTAAATAAATACATTTATGTTTGAATAAATAACTTTGCAGACAAAAAGTACAACGAAATAGTTCATTTGTAATTGTTAAAATATTTTAATTAAAATTTAAACCCTTTTATTGCTAATTATGGCTATTATTGAAAAATTGTAAGGCGAACGTTAAAAACGACTTTTTTTGATCGTAAAAGTACTGGTCGTATACGATCCATGTGTCAACAGGCAAAAAGTTAGTAATACGTTTTTAACAAAAGAAGTTGTAACTAAAAGAGTATTTGAATAGTATGTTATTATTTATTAGTTACATTTTCTACTGCCATTTAGTGTTCATGTCTAAAGTAAAAAAAATAGAAGGTTAATAAATTGAAAGTAATGCAATAATATTAAATTTTATTGTCATTGCTACGTACCTCTTCATTGCAGCGTCCATTTCATTTGCGATATCCTTACCGTGATCTGTGATGCCGATTCTGCTTCCAGTCGCGCATGCGCGTCGAAAAAGTTGACCCAGTGATGGACATTCGTGGGATTTTTCCTTCGAGGTATTCCTTTCTGCGCATGCGTAAGTTGACGTCACAGCTACATGTCGTCTGCTACCATACATGTATCCGAACCGCTAGAGAAGGTGCATTTAAGGGGACTGTGCAATTTTCTCGCATTTTTAACGGACAAGTTAAGTACAAGAGTGTTAGTGTTCGTGAGTGTAATATTAGGGAAAATTTAAAAAAAAATGGATAATGAACCGCAGCCGTCCACGTCAGGAATCATCGAGGAAAAGAAGAGGACATTATATTTTGTTTCTTACTAGGATTCAATAGTACCCTAAATTCTAAGTAAGTGTGTATTCAGCAGTGATGACTGCAGCGCTCGCTCCAATGCGCATGATCAAGAAAAATCCCACGAATGTCCATCACTGGTACTCAGTGTTACCAACCAGTACAGAACGATTTCCCCTGACGCTAGTTAAAAAAATCCCTAAATTTTATCTAAAACCCCCTGAAATATTTTATTTATTTATTTATTTATTATAGTTTCTCACAAACAAAGATATTTTATTTAAAGTTTATTAGAAAATAAGTAAGTGTCGTTATGTGTTAAAATGTAATAAATAAAAAAAGATCAATTAGTTAAAAAAAAAAGTTGTACTTTGACGCAGTGATGGACATTCGTGGGATTTTTCCTGATCATGCGCATTGGAGCGAGCGTTGCATTGGATCCCAGTAAGAAACAAAATATAATGTCCTCTTCTTTTCCTCGATGATTCCTGACGTGGACGGCTGCGGTTCATTATCCATTTTTTTTTTAATTTTCCCTAATATTACACTCACGAACACTAACACTCTTGTACTTAATTTGTCCGTTAAAAACGCGGGAAAATTGCACAGGCCCCTTAAATGCACCTTCTCTAGCGGTTCGGATACATGTATGGTAGCAGACGACATGTAGCTGTGACGTCACTTACGCATGCGCAGAAAGGAATACCTCGAAGGAAAAATCCCACGAATGTCCATCACTGCCTTGGGGATTTGAACTCTTGTCATCCGCGCAACTGTCTAAAATACGTGAATAGGTTAAGAATTTATAGAATTAAGGTATTTCTTTCGGAAAAATTACGAAGAAATCATACTTACATGTGTGCTATTGCCAAGAAATAGTCATATGAAATCTTTAGTTAATTGACCATCTAGTTTACGATTTACGAGGTATGATTAATCAAAATTTGTCAAAATTTGCCATTCTCGTAGAATTTTACATATTTTCGTACTCCGATTAATCATGTATCTCGTAAACTAGAAAGTTTTGTGAGAGTTCAAATCTGAAAGTTTGTGAGAGAAAATGTATTGGCGTCAATGAATGACATTAGAAATATTTTAAAACGCAATACAATGAAAATGTACTCATATTGTCAGAGTTTTAAATTAGTAATTTATCTGTAAGTCTGCGAGAGAGAAAGTTTGGATATTGATGATCTGAGAATGCCTTGCCTGGGCACGCCAAGCATTTGACTTCCAGGCCGTAGTAGTAGTACTGGAGTCAGTGCCATGCAATAGTAATCCTAAAAGGGTATCAACGCATTTTTATTCAAAGCGCGTTATTTATTCAAACATAAATGTATTTATTTAATCATCAATATCCATAGTTCCTCTCTCGCAGACTTTCACATATTTATCAATTTAAAACTCTGACAATATGAGTACATTTCCATTGTATTGTGTTTTAAATTATTTCTAAGGTTGTTCGATGTCAATACCTTTCCTTCTACAAGCTTTTAGATA